AGGTAATAGCTAATTCAATTCCTGGTTTGAACTTTATTGGAGCTACTAGACATGGTCTGGAGAGGTTCCTGTGACTCTGTTTATAAGAGTTAAATACAGAAATAAAGGGAAATGGAATCATTTTTAAATATGTGTGACTCTCTGAGTCACTTGCCCAGGAATATCCAGTTATTTCAGAGAGATTTAGAGGAATTCCCCCCCACTATAGACAATTCTAAATCTGTCTGATTAAGTTTAGGATTAGGAGTTCAGATTTAATGCATACCTTATCAACTATTGGCTCATTAGCTGTCAGTACTGGGAGGAGGAAGGGCTGCAATTTATACGGAGTAACAAAAGACTCTCAGTTTTAAATCCTTTTAGTTATCTAAGATTTATTCGTCCTTAAAACTTATTTTACCTTGTGCTTCCTGAATTTTAAAGAAGATGAAGCTGGGCTTTTATGAGTTGATGGCTGGAAAAAAAAATCCCACTATGTTTTTTTTCAGCCATTAAAAAAAACAACACCTGTGGTCGAAAATTGAAGAGGATGGAAACTGATGAAGGAGAGATTCAACCTAGAAATAAGGACAGTGAGAACGATCAACCAAAGGAACAGCTTTCCCTTGGAAGCTGTGGGAGCTTCATCACTGGAGGTTTTCAAGAAGATACTGGACTGACATTTGTCAGAAATGGTGTAGGGTCTCCTGTGTGGGGTTGGACTAGATGACCTACAAGGTTCCTTCCAATTCTGTTAATCTGTAGGAATATTTTAAGTATATTTGGGGAAAAGCAAGGCTGCCTTGCCTGGCATAGCATATTTTCTGGTCCAGGCTTGGGTAGAGATGATGGGACTTGTAGTCCAGAATATGGAGAGGGTGCTTGGGTGAGGAAATGTAACATTTATGTTACATTTGTCACTTCACAAGCTCCTTCCCAGACACCCTGATTTGTACCTTCTATTTCAGGACCTCCACAAAGCACTGATGCTGATTTATCCTCCCCTCAGCCCTGCCCTCAAGGAACTGAAAGTACCTGTCATCCTCCGGTGTAAGAAGCAGCAAATCAAAAGCTATGGCCAAATATAATATTTAAATAATATTTCATTTCTGTCCTACATACCGAATGCTAAAAGCATGAGTGTACCTTCCATTTAAAAATGAGCTTGGCTAATTTCTAGAATGCCTGAACAGGATGGCTACTAAACAAATATTAGGCAGAATAGTAATCTTAGCAATGCATAAGATGATGTGCAAAGACAGGCAACAGGACGTGTAAATTTCACCTCTAATGTTTGTGTTGTGACTTCAGTCCTATGCATATTTATTCAGAAGTCAAACTCATCAAATTCAGTGGGCTTCATTCCTAATTTTCCATAGGATTACATCTAAAGCCTCTCACTGGTACCGCCTGTAAATGCAGCAATTGCTGAGTGTATTTCTACTTCTATCACACCAGAGGGAGTGTTGGCAAAGCAATGTTGAAAAAGAACAGCCACTGTTTACAACATGCATGGAAGTTAAACGAAATGTTACCAAAGACCTTTCATCGCTTGTACTTAAGCGTAGCAACATGCCCTGGCAACAACCTTCTTTCTGCTGTAGCTCCACAACATTACCTTCATCTCACCTCAAACTTATTATTGATACTGGCTTAAGTCATCCTTGGATGTACGGGTGTTAAAAGTTGAATCCCCTCCTTACTCTTTATTCTGAAACTGTGCAAGCCGTCTTTAAAATGTACAAAATCTACTAGGTTGGTTGCCTTGGAAGGAACTCAAGAAACTACTTAAAGCCAGTAGGGACAGGATACAGACCAGCAGCGATTATAGCAAATGTGATACTGGTATAGTTTTGTTTCATCTCAAGACGGCACTTCAAAGCCAGTAGCAGGGAAAGGGTTTGCTAGAAATATAGAAGCTGAAAGCCGGCACATCTGGAAGCCAGAGTATGGAAGGGCTGTGTTAACAGCAGGGCTGACAGTGGGGGTGGCAGGAAGAAATTAAATTTGTCCACTTTCTGCTGCAATTCAGGTGGACATTTCTTCTGAAGTTGCGCTTTATATTTGAAGGGAAGTTTCTGCTGATGTCAACTGTAAGTTTATCTGAAATGTAAACAGCAACATCAGAAGAATCAACAGAATGGGATTCATAGTTGTAGAAAGTGCCAGTGTCCTTTTTTCAGGTCACGGATAGGCGACTGGTTTTTGTTGTTGTTGTTGAAAGGATTAAACAAAAAAGGAAATGAATAATATCAACAACACTTTAAAAACAATTAAAAGGACACAAGAGTTTATACGACAAAAGAGATCTTATAAGACTGGGCTATTTTGTGAAATCTCTGCTATTTTAATTTTTTAATAAAGAGGTTACAGGTGCCATAGCACATGTCCTGCATTTAAAGTATTTCTCTTCACTCCGTGCCTGAGGCAGTTCAGGCTGCCTTTAGCTTCCATTTACATAACAAAAGAATGTGCCTATTAATTGTCCTCATAACAAGTCACGACCTCTTGTTTGACACCTAGCACTACACCATATTTGTCTCAAACACAAGGCAAACGCTCTTGCATCAGAACCAGGAATCCTCCCTACTTGAGATGCTAAACTACATTGGAGAATAAGTCAAGTCCAGCTGAGCTAAGGGAGAGATAGACATAGATGCAAGGAATGATGCAAGCTTCCCACTTGGCATGTGACCATTGTTGTTTTGCAGCTGTTATACCAGGCCTTAGTAGAGTTGTGGTGGTGAAGAGCCTCCCTTTCTTCATGCATCACAAACACTACCAAGGTAGTGAGCCAGGAGATGACCAGGTAAATCCACAGGGGAGCCAATAAGGCTATAAAATACCTAGCTAAGATGCCTAACTGGAAGTCACATATAGCTTCCAAAGACCTTGGATACAGATGCTTGACTTCCCTTCCAGACTGCCAGCAATTTATACATTCTTAATGTCAAGGAAGGGGGGGAAATGATATACATGGAGCATTATAGTAACTGTAGGTCATCAATTAATTTGTTATTTTCCAAACTTAATATAGACCAGGAATGCTTCTCTCAGTGCATTTCCCCTATAACAATTCCCAGTAACTTTGTAGCCTCGCTCACTACAAGCAACTAGCAGTATAACCCTGTTCCTACTCTTGCGGGAGAATGATTGGGTGACTCTACAAGATGCTGGGGCTTGTGAAACGGCATTGACATAGGTGGGCATTTCTATTGCCAGCTTCATATGAATTTCACTTTTTACTACATGGAAATTCTTTTTGACTGCAGCAATGGAGAAAAAAAAATTAGTGGAGTTCCCTTCCCTCCACTTTCTCCTACCTGCTGAGAAAGAACAGGGTATTTTCCTCAAATTTCAGATAGCTACCGCCAGGCTGTGCTACAACCATAGCGAGAGCTCTGTCCTTTTTCATTCCAAAAGCCTAAGTGCAGACTGCTTTCTAATGATATTTTCCTCACATACACCAGCAATCTTGCCCCCCTGCCCCCTTAACAAACCTTCCCCATTTTCCTCAAGTACTAGTTTTCTTTGGCTGAAGCTGGAACATGTGAAAGTTATTTATTTCCGGGATTTTTTTTTTTTTAAAAAATAACTGTTTTGGAAAATAGAATAAAATCGTTTTCCCCAGGAGTGAAAAATTGCTCATGGCTTTTCAAAACCAAAGGTGGCTTTGGAGAATCTAGTAAGTGGGGATGGGGGCAGGAAAGGGAATGGCGACTGTCATATTTGGCCCAAACATATAAGTATCCACCAAGTAGAATAAGAGTTTTGTGTCCTTCTCAGACTAAAGCTGCTCCTTGAGGTGGTGCAACCACATAGTCACACCCAGCTCCCTAGAGCCCTTTATGTCTTTTCTGATGCCAAAATTGAGGGAGGGGGCTCGACAGAGTGACTTCCCTCCCCTGCAGTTGTAAAATCAGAAAAAAAAAAAAAAAGAAATATGAAGGAGGCCCATCAGAATTCAGACAGTGTGGTCTAGTTGTCAAAATACTAGACTTGGACTGGGATAACCAAGTTCAAGTTTGCATTTGACCTCAGGGTAAGTTTGTGCTAGTCACTCTCAATCAACCCATTTCAGCCGTCTGAGGATAGGGGCTATTTTGTTCCCAAATGATTTTTATTGTTTTTCCACCAGTACAAATCGTATTTACATTTTCAACAGCATTTTAGCATCGACATACAACATTGTCTTATGTTTTCTATCATCTATTCATATACACCAATGATTATTGTCCTTACTTATGCTTGTTATTAATATCTGTCTTTATCTATTTTACATATCTACATATCTATATATTTATTTATTTGATTTGCCAATTGTTTACAAGATAATAAGTATAAGTGTATACATAGTTGTGAATACATGAAATGGGTACATATAAGAAAAATAAAAGAATAAGAGAAACAATAGCACAGGGACGGTAGGCACGATGGTGCGCTTATGCACACCATTCTCTTAAGGATTCTTCTATAGGATAGGGGATATTTTATGGGGATGAAAATTAGGGGAGGGCGGCCATTCATACCACTTAAAGAGTTTTCAGGAAAAAAACCAGGGATCCAAAAGTAATTAACTTCCAATCCCTTTCCTTCTCCATTGCTTGTTTTTCTAGACCAAGTATCCTCAATGGGAAGGGGAAAAAAATGCGCGACTTTTAGTCCTGTCAGGAAGCCATCTATGATTGATCCGATTAATTATTATTTTACAGATTTCTGCATTGAAATTATGGATCAGGCTAAAGGCGGTTCAAAAAGAACACACGGCCCAAAGATCCTTGTTTTCTCAATTTTCTGCCCATTCTTTCTCCAGAGAAAGAGAGCAGAGAAGAAAATACATTCCGGTCTTATTCTCATTATTATAAACCCACGAAACCTTTTGTGTGTGGCGTGGGGGGGGGGGGGGGGATGGGGTGGTGGAATACAAGAGATGTTTTAATTGAGGTACTAAGGTAGGAGGAGTGACGAGAGGGCGGGAGGAGGCGGAGGAGGGACTACGTACCCTGAAAAGCTGAGAGTGCTATATAGTTAAGAGAACGAGAGACAGCGCTACCCGGAGCAGGCTGCGCTTCTGCTACTACTCCGCCTAACATTCGGGAGAGAGAGGCAGAGCGAGCGAGAGGAGCGAGATCGGAGGCGTTCATTGACATAAAAGTGAAGACGCTCTCGGTATATATATATATATATATATATAAAAAGGAAGCGAGATCGGGCAGGGAAACGAGATCCAGAGTTCTTCCTTCTCTTCCTTCCGACTTCCTTACGCTCTAAGGATCTGCGATTCATTCTTTTATTCGCCCTTTATTTATTCCCCTTCCCTCGATCTGCTGAGAAATTTCTTCGCTTAAAAGAACTTGGATTTTTGCCCTCTTTGGTGGGGGAAAAAAAGTGGGTTTTTTTTTTTTTTGGAAGAATTTTCCCCGTTTTTTTTTATAAAGGCAAGAAGAAGCGGCCCGAATCGAACCGGGCTGAATGAGGAGTTCTTTCTAAACAGCTTGCTGTTCAAACAAACCCAAAGCCACCCAACTTCAGCTGGGAAGCAGCGAGTCACAGCAGCTGTAAGATCCGAGACCTTGGAAAGGGGGAAAAAAAATGCACTGAAAGTTTTGGAAAACTTTTCTTCTTCGTCTCGCTTGCTTGCTTGCTTTCTTTTTTGTCTTTTCTCCCCCCGCCGGTGCTTGTCTTGGTGGTGAGAGCGAGCGCGCTCGCGCGTGGTGGTGCCTTGCCACCGAGGGCTGGAGTGTGCGTGGAAGAGAGGGGAGAGGGGAAATCGGCTACTATTCGCCGTGCTGCCCGGGGGGGGGGGATTGTTCTGGAGAAGCGGAACCGGCGGATCGGAACCTTTGCTGAGCCGAAGACCTTGAGCGAGCGCGCAAGCAAACCGAGGGCAAACTGCGTCTCTGGGGCCTCGGGAGAGGCGAGCTTATGGACTGGTGAAACCAGAGTCTAAATTCTCCCCCCCTCCCCCAGCTCAACTCCTCAGCTTGATCAGAGCGACCGCCGAGCAAAGAAGAAGGACTTAAAGACAACCCGACCGAGCCGATCCACCCCTCGCTCCTGGAACCATGAACTTTCTGCTCACTTGGATCCATTGCGGGTTGGCGGCGCTGCTTTATTTCCACAACGCCAAGGTAAAAAAGAAAAAGAAAAAAAAAAGGGGGCGGGCGGGCGGATCTGGGGCGGCGGGGAAGCCTTCCTCCTCCTCCTCCTCTTCTTCCTCCTTCTCGTGGCCTGTTCGCCGCATGTTACGCTGAACGTGCGTGACGAGCGCGAGGGGATCGCGGGGCCCAAAGGGAGCCCACACGCGTCGGAGGAGAGCGGGTTCCGCGAGGCGCCAGACAGACCCCCCCGCCACCCCCAGCCGGGTTGTCCCGCGCTCAGCCCGCGTGTGCTTGGTTGACCTTGTGAGGGGGCAACGCGGTTATCTCGGCTCGGAGTCGGCGCTCTTCGGGACTGCCGACAAAAGACCGGCCACCGACCCCCCCCCCCCCTTTTTTTTTTTTTTTTTTTTGAGCCGAAGGCGAGCGAGCAAAACGTTATGGCGTTTTAAGCTGTGACTGCAACCGCCCGCGTGGGGCCTGCTGGAAAAAGGGAGAAGTAGATCAGAAGCTGTTGTCCACCCCGGCAGGTCTGCCTTCCTTCTTGCACGTTGCCTTAGCTTAGCCCATTCCGAGCAGGTTTCCTTTCTCTTCCTGCTTGGGTAGTTTGGAAACCTGGGTATTTTTTTTTTTTTTTTGAAGGACGCCCCACGGAGGAGGCACGTCTCTGCATCGTCATTGATCGGAGCATATAGGCTGACTTCTTGTAGCAGCGGCGGTGGCAGCCAGCTGCGCGCACGCTGCTCTCTCTGCCTCCCTCCCTCCTTCCCCCCCCCTCTTCTCCTGACATTGCAAAAGCGGTGTTTTTGGCTTGTTTGCTTTAGTTAGTTAGGCAGGTTTACTGACCGGAGTTCAAAATTCCTGCCTTGCAAAAGCAAACAGAGATCAAAGACCGCCAAATGAATTCTGTGGCTCTTCCAGATTGATTTTCAGACGGAACGACCCTGCTGAGTTTCCATAAATAAGAGTTCTTTCTCTATACCGTTTCCCCCGCTTCTAAACCCCTCTCATCTTTATTCGTTTCCTTATTATAAAGGCCATTACCCAAAGACCCCACTAGCAGGAGCTTTTGACTTGCTCCTTAAAGGAATTAAATAAGCTGGAGGGTTGGTAACGTTTGCTTGGGTTTAGCTCCTGCTTGAAAGAAAGGGGATGCAGGTTATTGGTGGTTTTTAGGGGAGAGAAGTGAAGTCTTAAAAAACCCCACTTCAAATGCAGCCATGCTGTCCTTTGCCACTTTTCAGAAATCTTGGACCAAAAGGCCTGTCATCTCTAGCCAATAAGTCACCTGGTGGTGTCGTGTTAAACAAGAGTGTAGAAATAGTTATAACTTCCTTTTTTCAGCCACAGATGTAAGATATCTGCCGTTTCAGATCAGTCTAGTTCGATGTCACAAGCTGTTCAAGTCCAGCTTTCATGCAAGTGACAGCAGCACATTCATCTGTTCAGGACAGATGTTCTTTGAGGGGAAACCTGTGAATAGGTTAGTCTGAGATGGCCATGCTTGCTTTTTTTAAAATGATCCTTGGGTTATACAGTTTTGCCAAGCCTGGTTTTACAGATTCTGTCATCCTAAACCAGGGGTCTCCAAACTTAGCAACTTTTAGACTTGTGGACTTCGACTCCCAGAATTCTCCAGCCAGCATAGCATAGCTGGCTGGAGAATTCTGGGAGTTGAAGTCCACAAGTCTTAAAGTTGCCAAGTTTGGGCACCCCTGTCCTAAACGATCTGCCCAGTGATAAATTCATCCAGCTTGTCTGGATGCCACTAGATTGAGAAAACTGATTTATGCATGAACGACTGTGAAGACAAGTAATAAATAGAATATATATTAAAAAGGTACACAGAGGGAGAATATGTAGAATGATGGGAAATATAGACGACTTCCCCTCCTCCAATTGATGGTCCTCAACTCTTAGGACCCCACAAATCACTCAGGTAAATTGTTAGGTGCCATAGTCTTATATATTACCAACCCAAATCAGATGCAGTATATGAAGTAGGAATCTCTGGGGAGCAGACAATAAATGCATTTACATTTTTTGACCCCAGAAACAGCTTAACATATATTGGAAACGTGGAAGGTAAAAACTATTGGTGAGAAGAGAATTAAGTTATTCTATGCAGTATGGCACTTTAAGAGAGCGTGGAAGACAAGTGTAATCCTTTGCTGAAAGTGAAATGGCATTAATATAAGTTATTAGGAACTATTAATCTTTATTAATATATAATATAAACTGATTTCATAGCTTTAATGCTCTTTTATTAATTATTATGTAATGCTATTAGGAACTGATTGTTTTATTTAGTTTACTGCTTAATTGGATGGCTGTTCATTGCCGAGAGTTGCTTTTGGTGAAATGGGCAGCTATATAAATTTGATAAATAAATAAAATATCTAGCTTTGACTTGTTGAATAAAGCCATAGTTAACTTGTTTTATATACTATGTGAAGTTTTAACCCATGGTTGACACACAGTAATGGTTGGATTCAAAAAAGCAATCAGCCAAAGCCAAACAAACCACAGTATAGCTTAGTTGTATAGCTTAGTAAGTTGTGAGCGCATAAGTCAGGTGAAGGAAATGCAGGGCATTGGTTTCCTCTTACAGCTCAACTGTTGGGTGTAATAATGGTGCAGCCCCTCCCAGTGATTAATCACTTTTGAAAGTATTACCCTTGGAGTGAAGCATGGGTTAACGGTGAGAAGACCCGTGGATGAAAAGACTGAAGTCCAAACCAAAATCTGCCTGCCTTTCGTTCCGCTATATTGATAATACTTAGGGCCCTTTTATTATTATCTGATGTAATTGGTGGTGATGCTAAGTTTGTTGCAGTGAGCAAGTCCTGGGGCTCCTTCTCAAGACATCTTTCTGGTCTGAGCAAAGATCAAGCAGTAAGGGTGGAAACAAGAGCGTGTGACTGGACTGCTAATGATCTCACAGCCATCAGCCTTTTGCTCAGGCCACATTGGGGCTCCTACTTGCCACCCAGCTGCTGTTTCTAAGGGAAGGCAGTGGGACTTCCTCCTTTTAACTGTGTAGCCAAAGGTGGAAAACTCTCCAAGTTAATATCTCTTCCCAATACAAAGTGGGTGTTGGAGCCCTCTTTGGTGTATCCTAGTCATTTCCTGAACTCATTTTCCCTCTTCTTTGTGCCATGTCAGAAATGCCTCCCTTATTGGGCCACTGCACTTCCTTTCTCCTTTGAGTGCCTAGCAGGGGGAGGAGGAGGGGAACTCTGCAGCATTTTAGGCAGAAAATACCAGAGGAGGGCTCCCCCCCCCCACCTAAGATGGCATGGTTTTTTAACTCTAGTCCCAGGGGCCCTCCCAAAGTGGCTGGATTGTTTGCTCCAGTCCAAAATAGTTACAAAGCTCTTTTAATGAGGCTGTGAGATTAGGAGAAGGAGAAAGCCAGAGAAAGAATGGTTTTGATGTGAAAGAATAGGAAGTGTGTGTGTGTGTGTGTGTGTGTGTGAGTGTGTGTAGAAGCAATTTATTGAGTTAACCTTTTCCTTGCTTCATACAGGAATGAGTAAGGTATAAGAGTAGAATTGCCAGCTGCCTGTCAACGTGCTGTTGCTCAAGCCTTAAAGGAGATATTTCCCCTATTGTCTGTGTTGAAAAATCTAACACAAGACAATTAAGTACCTTAATGGGGAAACAATGAGTAAAACCTCCGGCCAGGGAAGAGAGAAGGGTACAGGCAATGTGACCTTCAAAAGGGCACTTGTCCCTTGAGAAAAAAAAAAGTTTGTCCTTCCTTTGATGGGAACGGAGAACATTTACAGCCTTCATCTAAAGCCCTGAAACTTGGGTCAACGGAGCCTGTCAGCATTGGCCAGAGAGAATGTAATTCATCAGCATAGGAGCAGAGAAGAACCTTCAGATTTCTCAAATGCATTCAAGGTGACTCTGCTGTATAAATAGCTCCTAGATTCAAAGGCAAATGGCACGAGCAATGGTGTGAATAGATTGTACATGATGGTTAATGGGGTTCCTTTTCCTTGTCTGACTGGTGAATATGCTGCTTCCAGTTTCTGCTAATCAGGAAATAGTAGTCTAGCCTTGATAGGAAGTTCGAAAGAGGGGGGGAAAAAAAGCAGATGGACACAGACCATACCAAGTCCCTATTTGCTATCTGGAATCCCTTCTAGCGATTTTTCAGGTCTCTTTCCTAAATGATCTTCACCCCCCCCCCCACTTTCTCTGCTTTGAGAGAGAGAAGGAGAAAGCTGTTTTGGAGAAGGTGAAGCAGCAGCAAGGGACAACTTTAGGCCAGAAGGGAAGAACAGTTTCTAGCTGATGCTGCAGGACCCAAGCAGGCCTTTGAAGAATGAAAGCCAGGGGTGTCTCCTTCCCCAGAGCCCTGACCAAGTTATGGCAGGGCTGCATGCTTGGCTGCTCAGTCAGGGCACTTGTGGGCAGCGTGTTTGCCACAGTACCATCCTGCAGATGGAGGAGGAATCCCAGGACAGCCTGCCACAGCCTGCTGGCTCAAAAAGAGTACGTGCTCAACGCGATGCTAGAGAAATGGGCGGACACCTGCCTGACAAGGAGCTGTGGCAACTTGCCACCTCACCAGAGAGCTGCCCGTCTGAAGCGTCTTGAGAAGCAACGGAGGCTGTGCTTAGAACTGATTGTGGCAGCTTGCTGGCCCATGAAGGCCTTGGTGTTTAAGCTTCGACTTCCCCCACCTTGTTTGTAAAAGTTGCTCTGACCTTCACCCAGAGATAGAAAAATCTTGTTCAGCTTAAAAACGAACATTGTCACCTGTGTGTGCTGCCTGGCACCCTTCTTTGCAGATCCAAGTGATTCTATCTGTTGGGCCATCGCATAGATCAATCCTCCGCAGCTCCTAGAGTTCCTAGTCATTGGCCACATGGGCTGGGAGTTCTTGGAATTGTAGTCCCAAGTCAGGTGTAGGGGGTATCAGTTTAGAAGGATAACCTGTGTAAGTGCCACAATTAGAGCGCAGCATTGCATTCTTAGCCTCTGTTACCTTTTGCTGACAGCCTAGTGAACCAGTTGGATTGCTCTTGAAATTCACTGGCTGATTCTGACTCCATAATTTGCGAATCAGGAGGGCCCTAGGTTCTTCCTCTCTGCTAAAACTGGGCTAATGACCTTGGCTAGGTACCCCAGAGATCTGAAACACTGACATTCAGATTCCTTGTCATGCCATTTTTAGAAGGTCACCAATATTGTTTTCTCTTTTGCCAGTCACCTCCCCTGTTCAGGTTTGCATTGTAGATTTTGATCTTGATTATGATAATAAATGCCTTAAAGCCTAGAAAAACGAGAGTGCTGTCTGAGAAAACTTTTTGAATTCTTTTTGTCCCACATACCGAAAGCAAACATATAGCTGAATTGGTTCTTACTGAATAGAGATCTTGCTTTCTCACATTTGTACCTCAGGGGATCTTCCTTGTCTAGAGTATGATAATAGCTTAAATCTACTTTTCTTACATACTTAGAAAATGACAACTCAGTGTTTTGCTAATGTATTTTCTTGTATTTACCCAATGTCTGTATATTTCTTAGCTCCCTTTCAGGCCCTGAAAGTTATGTGATATCTTTCTATAGTATCTTCCCCTATAATATAGTTTCATTAGCACTGAATCATAAAAGCGACTTAAATGTAGTAAGCCAGCTAAAAGGCAATTTCAAAAGTCAAGGACTATTTAACCTTTTAGACAACAGGTAAGCCACAATTTGCCAACTTGGCACTTTCTAGGTGTATGGAATCAAAGTGGGAATGCTGGCATGGTATGCAACACTTTTAAAAGCAGATGGACATGGAATCTGGCCATGTACAGTACATTTTGTAGGCCACCACTACAGAAACAGAAGCAAAAAGTATCCATTAATACAAAAAGTATTCCATGTTTCCAACAAATGTTTTGGTTCACAATTCAGATGCATTTCCTTTCTGGATTTTCTGCAGAGAAATGGGCGTTAGAACATAATTGGCATGTGCCATTTTTGGTTTTCTTTTGTATTCTGCAAAGTGCAACAGATTCTGATCTTTATTACTGAAAACCAGCAAAGTTTGGTTTGAAAAAGGGCTTCAGGGTTTGTAGGGTGAGGGCACCGGATTTGTGTTCTGATTAGTTCTCTGTTGGTTTTGCAGGTGTTGCAGGCTGCTCCTGCCCAAGAGGATGGAGAGAAGCAACCAGAAGAAGGTAAGCGCCCCCTCCCTCCTTCGCTCCCTCCCTCCCTCTCCCTTCCTCTTCTTTGATGAGTATATAATAAGGGTACCTTCAAGAAGCTGAATTTGTTGATGGTTTGAGGAGGAGGAGAACTGGCACCAGTCCATTAGCTGGGCTGTTGGGCAGGGAATATTCACATTGCTAACATTTGAAAAATGAATATATGTGAGGGTGTGGGATGAAGGTGGTGTTAGACTGTAATTCTGTGGACAAAAACAATGGAAGTAACATCAGTAACTGGAGTGAAGTAGGATAAAGATTTCCAGCATGACTACACTGAAAACGTTTAAATGAAGACAATGGGGGATTCTTAGTTGCCAGGTTTGACATCTTGGGTTTCAAGATTTCCCAGGATTTTGTTTTTAATCAAGCAGCTGCAGTTATGCGCAACAGTATTTTGCTTTAAAGGAGAAATGAGATAACACCATGTTTTTATTAAACTTCAAAGAACAATCTTATCAACCCAGATGTGTTAGAGTACAGCTGCAGATCACACAGACTGTGAATGGCAGGAGTTCAACCTACATGGAGAATATCCAGCAAAAGAAGGTTGTCAGGGAGAATATATTGGACTGGAATGTTGGCATTTTAGTCTGTTTTAAGGCTTACTTAAAACTAAGATCAGGCATCTCAGCAATTCTGGGAATAATAGTTGGAGGAATTTACCATGATTTTAAAGGGAAATCACCTTGAAAATTTCCTGTCTCTCATCTTTTTGCTGACAGACCTTTGACCTATGTTGTTTTGGTCAGACAAAAAATAAAGTTATCCAACTATCAGTAATTAAGTTTGCAAGGAACACGGCATTGTCCAACTGAACGGATAATTTTCCAGAAACAAATGAGAAGTTTGATCCATCTTTTTAAAGACCACAGTGCTACATGCCTACATGGGAATATGCCCTACTCTAAGGAATAGTAATTTCTTCTGCATCATTATGCACAGCATTCGCTGTTGGTGTGTTTAGAAGAATCACCTGCACCTTAAGGCTGAGTCTGGGAGCATTTTTGCAAATAGGCCATTATAACCAACTGCATTTGGTCTCTTGTTGGACATTGTATTTGAATACGTCAAAAATGAAATAGAACGGAAGCTCCATTGTGCTTCTAAAATTTTAGACCAGTCATCTCCAGCCTGGCTCCTGGATCTGCATCTGTGGAAATGTTTGCTCACACTGGATGGGGATTATGGAAGTTGTAGTTGGGAAGCTATCAGGTTGTTATAAAAAGTTCTGTTATATCTGGAGCCAGAATACTCTGATTTTGGCAGTGTGGGTCTAAATGCAATTTGTCTTTTAGTCGTTTGCTTTTTAGATTTGGGTCTTGCAAGAGAATTCTCATAAATTCCCCAGCAAAAACATAATTTGTGACAATATTCAGTAACCTTCAAACCTTTGTACTTTTCAAAATATGTGGCAGGAAGGAAGGAAAGGAGAAGATGTAGAAATCAGACATACTACAAGTAAAGAAACTGAGAGGGATTCAGAGAATAATGGCAATTTCTAAACTACTGGTAAGAGGTTCACAGTGCAGGGAGCACTGGTTTAAACTTAGTATCAATCCTCACAGCCTTTGAAGTTTTAGGCAGTAGATGTTCACCTAACTTGGAGATTTGTAGCAAACAACTGGCTTTCCACAGTGTAGAAAGAAAGTCTGCTGTGGAATCCCTTTAGTTTGGGGGCATTCAGGGAGTGGCACTTGCTGCTGTTCTTAGAGTTAGACAGCAGCAGGGGGCAGCCTTTTCTCTTACCAAGGTTAGTTTCAATTGCAATCAAGTTTTTGGCCTGGTGAACTCGGAAGAGTGTTGTCAGACTCTTAAGGGAGCGTAACTTTGTAAGAGCACACCCTTATATTGTAATCTAATGGCTGTTCTGGTTTTAACTTTTTTTTTTTTTTTACCCTGAAAATGAATACATGGTTGTTCCTTTTTCTGTGTATGTGAGAAAACAACTGCATGGCAGGTTGATATTTAAAGCTGCTTGGGCTCTTTGTCTCGAGCTACAAATGCATGAGTGACATTCAAGCACTGGCTTGTATTTTGTGGTGCTACTCTGTCACAAAGGAGTTATTTGGATTTCTTTGAGCTCGGAGACTGATAGGAACTCTGCAGAATGCTGTATTTCAGAAAAGGCCAGCAAGGGTTTTGCAGGTTATAGTCATTACATTTTTCCTTCTGCTTAAAGGTTAGACGTTATGTCACCTAGTCAATCGGTAGCCAGATAAAACCAGGCTTTCTTAACTAAGTCCTGATCTGATTGACATAATCGAATATCAAGAGATGTGATTAGCAAGCCACTGCAAAACAGTTGCTGCAGTAACTTTGCACAACTAGATAATAAAGATCTGGGGTTTCTACAGGGCCATAGAGCAGCTTATTGGGGGAACTCATTGTGAAGCTTTAAAGATTCAAATGATCAATTTGGACTATTTAAGACTTCACATTATTATATGTTAAACTGGAAATGAGAAGGCCAGCAGCCAAGTAATTGCCTCTTTCTGCTTGTGTATCAGTGACTAGTCTCTCTTAAATAGAACTGACAAATATCTCTTAATTTCCCTTGCATTTGTATATTAAAAGTTAGAGTAGCTAGAGTACTCACATCTCTATTATTTTGCACCATTTTTCTTGTTTGAATATCATTCATATGAAAGGGTGGAAAACAACAAAACAATTTCTTACCTTTTTTTGCTGATGTGGCTGCATTGAATCTGCTTTTGTAGGGGTCTTTTGCTAACAGATTGGCAGGTTAATTTAGGAATGTTACTTCCATATGAAAAAGCAATAGCAACAGACTTTATGGTGTTTTACAGCCCTCTCTAAGCGGTTTACAGAGTCAGCATATTGCCCCCCAACAATCTGGGTCCTCATTTTACCCATCCCTGAAGGATGGAAGGCTGAGTCAACCTTGAGCCTGTTGAGATTAGAACTGCCAAATTGCAGTCAGCTGGCAGTCAGCAGAAGTAGCCCGCACGTACTGCACTCCAACCACTGTGCCACTGCCGCTCATAGAAGAATAATGCTTTTTTCTAGAATTACTATCTTAATGGAGTGGGCCAGCAGTGGAGTTTAGTATTCTAGGTATATTCTAGGGGGCATTCTAGATTTGATATCACTGAGCTACTAACCTAAATTTCATGTAATTCGTGAAACTATATAGGAAGTAAGCAAAGAATTCAGAAATGAGAAAGTACCTTTATTCACTTTTCATATCATTTTGATAATAATCAGTTTTTGGAAATTGATAATTCCCCCACTGTCCTTCTCCGTTTCCCATATTTATACATTTGAAAGGGATAAAGCAAAAATAAAAACTCTAGAAGGTGCTATATGTCTGCCAGCTATATGTGGGCATAGGATGCATCTCTTTGGATGATCCACAGGTTATATACTACTATTTTTTTTTTTTAAAAAAAAATCATTTAGGACAGCCATTTTGTTACTTTTAGAGAGATTTTAGAGTCACCTGATGGTAAGATAGGCAGCATATAAATTTAATAAATATTTGTGATGAACTTAAAGGGTGAATTAGCTGCTCGGGCAAAGACAGTAGGTACCCTATGACTTTCATACTTACTCCTATTTGGGATACCTCCCCTGCAGTGTATGTGGGGCATGGGATTCCATTACAGGAAATCTTTGACTTAACAACAGTTCATTTAGTGACTATTCAAAGTTACAGCGGCACTGAAAAAGGTGACTTATGACTGTTTTTCACACTTACAATCTTTGCACCATCCCCCTGATCAAAATTCAGATGCTTGGCAACTGGTTCATATTTATGGCCGTTGCTGTGTCCCAAGGCCACTGGTTGTGACCTGACAAGCAAAGTCAATGGGGAAGCCAGTTTCACTTAACAACCACTTAACAAGCAATGATTCACTTAACAACTGAGGCAAGAAAGGTTGTAAAACAGGGCAAAATTTACTTAACAAATGTCTTACTTAACAAGAGGAATGTGGTCGTAAGTACCTGTACATGGAAAAACTTGTTGAATTTGTTTCACGGCACAAGGGGCAAGTTGTTTGAGACGCTCGAGTCCTTGTCTCTGTCCATTAGCTTTCTTCTGAATGCAGATGCATGAGGAGGTAGCTAATAATGTTTTCAACTCAGTGTTATTATAACAAAGTTTCTTGCGCTCTTAATGCTTAGAAAGGAGTGAATAATCAGCAAGGCGTTACATGTCTGGCTATGTGCCGACAAGTTTTCCAGACACTAAATTGTTTAATTCTCTGGTTTATAGATAGCTGCATTTTAAGGTTAAGGTCGACCTGAAGGGGAAGAAGGAAGAATTGGCCCACACTAATCGCAGGATACCTGAGAGGCTGATACTAGATTTTGGGCTTGGGCTGTGGAAGGAAGTGCTGCTTTTGAGCTGGAGACCGCCCGTCACTACACGCTTTTTCTCTCTGAGCCAACTGTTTAAACAGGCACTTAGGCTGTGCAGCCAGTAGAAACCCCAGGCAGGCTCCTTCTCAGATGGTGGCCCTCTCAGCCCCACATGACCAAGAATTAACTTTCTGCAATTATCAAGAGCCCTGAGCTCACAACTGCAGCACTCTTGATTCTCTCTCTCTCTCCTCCTCTCCCTACCCCCAGCACGTGCCTGCGCTTCAGTGGAGCAACCTTTCTGCTGGTTTGTCACAGGTTCAGCACTGTTCAAAACGCTTAACGGTTTCTGTTTTTTCCATGATGCAAGCAATTTGTGCTTGTTATCACACTGGGTTATCAACGCAGACACTGCAGGCCTTGGAAGGTGGGGGGGAAAAAAAAGCACTTAGGTCAAACAGTATCTCCTGCTTCTGCAAGGACTCCATTAGCTGCTTCTAATGTGCCTGTTGGAGGAACAGGCACGAGCCCATGTTTTGCTTAAAAGATCTCATATTCTGTTGGGAAGATAGATTTTTGTACTCTTGCATTGAGCCATGCATCTCGTATCTCCTCTCCTCTGTTTTGCAATGAACCATTAGCTTTAGCCTGCTCATGGTAGAATTGTGTGTTTTGTGTGTATGTATAAATTTGTTAGGGCTGGAGACCTTGCATTCTTTTTTTCTCCCTATGTTGCATTAAAAAAAAATTGGAGTGGCATGAATTCCAATTTCATGCGCCTTTTCCTGTATATTTGGATCAGACTTTCTCAACCCTAACTGTAGGCTGTCCAGATGCTTTGGATATGACAGCTAGAATTTCTAGCCATTAGCCATGCTGGCTGGTAACTGATGAAGGCTGAGCTAAATGTTGATGACTGAGCTGGGATAAAATACATAATTTCCCAGGTAGAACCTCCCCTGCTTCATTGAAGAAGGTAATCTAAAAACTTTTCAAACATTAAAACTTAATGGTAACTATCATAATGGGGGCAGATCCGGATTAAATATTGGGCACACTGAAGTTCTTTTGAACTTCAGTTTCAATTCGATTGTAGCCTCAATCCAGTCCAGAATTACTGCATATCAAATTCTACAGCAATTGAAGCAAATGATGAGGCCCTTTGGGTAAATACGAAATTATGAAAACGTTTGGCCAGACAACCAGAGTGCACAGCACAGAATGGTGGCAACGCTTTTGGAGGGAATGAGGTGATAGTTTGCTCCTTGTTGTTTAGAAACATAAATGAGGGGCATTTCTGTGGAGTAAAACTAAAATTAAAACATTTTGGAAGGGGTCAGCAAATGTTATGGCATGGGTTTACGGAAGGGAGGGGACCTTCCCTCCCATTAAGTCCCTTGATTTTTGTGCTGAAAACTACGTGAGTGATGCACTAGAGTTAAGAATGAGTTTCTACTTCTCCAGCTACTTTCCATGTAGTCTTGGCAGTAGCATAGGACTAGAAGTTAAAGGAAGAAGCATATTTTCCAACTACATGGCACTGTGTGATGAGTCCTGGAAAATGTGATATTCCCACTGCAGAAAATTATCTGAGGAAATTGAATCTGGTCCTGCTCAACAACTGTGCTTTTGAGAGAAGCTTTTAGGCTAACATCAAATAGTTATTTTATATGTGAAGGGACACTGGGTTGGAACCTCTGGGTTTCTGAAATGACCAGGTTCCCTTTCGATTCATTTCAAGGTAAAGCTTCTCTAACAAGCTGCCACCATGCCATGAGACTTATGAATCACTTTTATTTCCATCTTGCAAATGCATTCTGTTTCTAGCTGGTTAAAATTCAGACAACACAGATGCTAAACTTGTCAGTGATTCATCATATCTTGCTCATCCACAATCTCTATAGTCTGCCTTCTTAGGCCTTAAGTACATTTTAAGTAGGCTAATGCATTTACTGAGAGACTGTATTTTGTTAAGACTGTTAGGTAAGAATCCAGTAGAAGGGGCAGTGATTCTTGTGCCTTAAGTCTGTCTACACTATATTCTAATGTTAATGTTGGACTTCACAGAATAAGTGTAACTAATCCCTACTTTTCCTTTCTCCCTCCCCTTTGTTTCCTAGTTATCCCATTTATGACGGTCTTTGAGCGGAGTGCCTGCAGGCCCATTGAGACCATGGTAGATATTTACCAGGAGTATCCTGATGAGGTGGAATACATGTTCAAACCGTCCTGTGTGCTCCTGATGAAATGTGGAGGATTCTGTAATGACGAAGCGCTAGAATGTGTGCCCACAGAGGTGTACAATGTCAGCATGGAGGTGAGACTATGGTTTAACAGTCAAGGTGACTTAGCAATGAGGACGAGTCTTTTGACCTGCAGTTGTTCTTGTTTTCTTTAATAAATTCCACTATGGATAGTTTGTATAGTTTTGGGAAGGATCAACTGGTGGTCTGGGACCATACCCAGTTCCTAATATAACCACTTGTATCTGTTGGATATGGAAAGAATAGAGAAAGATGAATCATAGACTTATAGGACTGGAAGGGACATCAGAGGTCTTCTAGTCTAACTCTAGTTGAGCTTGAGGGCAAGAGCCTTATATCATCTCAACCAAATAGTTGTCCAGTCTAGTTTTGAAAACTTCCAGTGATAGAGCATCCACAGCACCAGGAGGCAAGGTATTCCACTGATTAATTGTTCTAACTGTCAGGAAATTTCTCCTTATTTCTAGGTTGCATCTCTCTTTAACAGGCTTACACCCATTACTTCCTGCCCTTAGAGAATAAATCAATCCCCTCTTGTTTGTGACACCCCCTTGAATACGAAATACAGTTATCATGTCCTTCCCCCATCCTTCTTTTCAATAGGCTAGACAAACCTAGCTTTTACCTATTTTTAATGTGACCAGAGCAATCTGACTAGGTCAGGTTGTCCCTGGGCAATATGAGTAGGTCAGAAGTGCTTCTGAGATTACAAAAAGTGCAGCCAACACTTAAAAACAAAAACACCCCCTCCAACAAAACAACGGAAAAGAAATTGCCCTGGTGTTCTTTGTTATTTCAAGAACTATAAATATGGCTGCGACTGCTGTGATGCTCTCATATGTTCTCCAAAGGGAAGACTAGTAAAGTTAGGTGGTGTGCTTTGTACACATTCTTTTGAACCTGAGTATAATTCCCCCTGAAAATTCAGAGGCTGGTATTTGACTGTACTACTACACACATAGGAACGCACAGAGAGACATATAGATCACATACCCGTGTAATAACAACCTACATTTCAGGTGTCAGGTTCCTGTGTTTGCTACACTTTCCAAACGCTTTAGAAGATTTTGGTACTTAGCCTAATGAATGAAATAGCCATGTTACTTGCCCTAGATCTGTTATTCTTTATATGCCTTGCTTAATTCTCTTTGAATAACATCCAGATTTTAGAATCTGTATATCAAAGGATCTGTGTGAGGTAGCCAAGACCACTTGGGTAAGGCAATCTGTTTTGGAGAGCAGGGCAAAAAATTCTTTTAACTTTTAACTTTGTGGATATGAGCCCATTTATGAAGTAGTCCTTGTTGAGTGACTGCCTCATTTAGTGATTGTTTTCGGGTATTATAGGGATGAAAAGGTGACTTTATAATCAATCCAGCTTGCAGGTTTGTAAAGCAAAGAAAAACTGAAGTAAGATCATAAATATAGTCATGGTTTAATCTAATGACTGATTTGCTAAACCCAATTGTGATTGCTAAATGAAGACTAAATTGTACTTTTTTGGCATGGCCATTCATATCAGGAATTTAGCATTGCTTATTGCTTTTGAGTATGTTCCTATACATTCCTTCTCAAAACTGCGTCCCATGAGTTTAGAGCAGTGTTTCTCACACTTTAAAGATGTATGGATTTAAACTCCCAGCATGGCTGGGGAATTTTGGTAGTTGAAATCCACATATCCTAAAGTTGCCAAGTTTAAGAAATACTGGCTTAGAGGGGTAAAAAGGGGATAGGATGGTGGCTTAAGGAAGCTAGCTAATGTAGCCTCATTTTGCCCCCTTGGTTTAAGCATTATTTTGCTTGCTTGTTTTGTGAGATGGCTGTTGAACATTACCCATTTGTAAATGTGACTCACTGTTCATCTTTTTTCTTTTTCCTTTCTGCCCACATTTTTTCCTTCTAGATCATGAAACTCAGACACTTACAGAGCCAGCATATACAACTGATGAGCTTCCAGCAGCACAGTAAATGTCAATGCAGGTAAGGACAGAGAGTTTTTCTGATTGAGTTTGGAGAAGAATTATGCTATTGTGTACCAATTGTACCCAGCTGCCCACCTGTATCCATCTACCATCCAAAATCTTGTGGTGTAGGTCTTGCTTTGTATTGGGAAGAGTTTTTCCTTGCTAGCCAACTGACTTGGTGATTTCATCCATCTTGATTGACAGATGATGTAAGTCCACTGTCCAGTAACAGGAGGGCTTTATCTTGTCATCTTAAGAAACTCCAGTTGCATCAACATTGCTTCAGCAGGAGAAGCATTCCTTAAGGGGCTGCATCTAGGTCACAAAATTGTATTTGTATCTGTGTGCTTACATGCTCTCAATCTCTGTCATGGAAATTTCACTGGCCGCTTGGTACATTCTTTGGGTAGGTGCAATTGAGAACCAGCAACTGGTTGAGAAACATTGTATTGCTATTATACTCCAACTGAGTAAACAGGTGGTTGTGCCCATGTTCCTATGTGCTCTGAACCCTTAACCCCCAATCTTTGTTATACAAGTTTATATGATCATGAAAACATAATTACAGTCAAGACAGCCACTTTGGTGTAGTGGCTAAAGTGCTGGACTAGAATCCCAGAGAACCACAAGTTCTAATCCTCCTTAGGTGTGAAAGTGAGTTCAGTGACTTTGAGCAGTCACCTCTTTAGCCCAACTCACTGTACGGGTTTATTGTAGAAAAAACAGAAGGCAGAAATATTGTATATTTTGCCTTGAGTTGTACAAAATAACAGTGGGATATAAATCTAATAATAAATAGATCCGTATAAGGCAGAGCTCTGATGTCAATGCAAGTTATATTCATTTTCATGTCAACATTTACAAAAATCTCCCTTCAGATTTTGCTGTTAGTCAGTGTTGGGCAAAGGGAAATAGAGCTGGGGATATTAAGGGCAAGGACAAAAGGCATGACTTTTTAATGCATATATTTGGGCATAACATCTGAACAAAGTTTTAATTTGGTCAGAAAGAAATGTGCTTCTTTTTCTGCCCCTGGCTAGCATAATTAAGGCCAACCTTCACCAACCTGATGGTCCTATGGCATTTTAAGCTTGTGCTGCCATTATCCCCAGATAACATTGCTAGTTGACATGGATAATGGAATTGGTACATTTGGAAGACTGAGATGGGCAGTGCTGGAAAGAGCATCCTTTATTATGTTTGCTGCTGAAAGTGGGGGTGATCCAAGGATGGGATCTTTGCATTTATTGCTAATTCTCTTCTAATCCTGCTCTTCTTTTCTTCAATTATAGACAAAAGAAACCAATAAGAATTAAACAAGAAAAGTAAGTGACCTAGATTATATCCCTCTCCTAAATTGGTGTTGGTGATCTCCCTCCTTTCTTTCCCAGATCACTACAAATAAGAACTGGTTGTTGCTGATTTTTTTTAAAAAAAGAAATAATCTAAAGAATTATACCTTGAATCCATTCCTCTTAGCTACAGTCACACATGTAGCTTTGACAGCTGTGGTTCCCTTATGCCTTGAAGCCATTTTGAAACTGTTTACTTGTAAAAAAATATGTCAGGAACAGCATGGAATTAACTCGAAAGCTTTTATCCCTTTTCAAAAGGATTCTCGCTGAAACTTTCCTTACACATTTATTTGGAGACCATTGCTCTCCTCTCTCTTTGCTGCTTTGATAAAAAACTTGCTGATGTTTACAGCAACTTTCATAAATGTCTAACATTAAGGCTGTGCATGCAGGCTATGCTGTCTCACTTAGAACAAGGGTTGCCCTTTCATGAACCAAAAGCTACGTACGCCCAATCAAAGGTTGGGTAGTGTTCTGATGTGAATTAACTTGGCATATCAATCATGAAAGGTGGAATAAAGAGAGTTATATTCATTTTTTCGCCAGCACTCCCCAGCATGGTGCCTTCTATAGTGCTTTTGGAATATTTATCCCAGGCTATTGGTGTTGCAGTCTGGGACCAATGAGATAGTAGTTCAAAGCATCTGGAAATACTGCATTGTGGTGACTGTAGATGAGTTTTGTTATGGGAATGGAAGTAGCTGATCTTGTAATGTGACACTGACATCTACCTTGAGATTTGTATAGTATTATTGAATGTTAAAATAGACTTTTCTATACATTATCCAGCCGAATCAACTGTGGATATACTTTTTCAATTTCTAGCTAACAAATAAACGCATGCGTGCACTGTGAGGGGATATTAAGATGGTTCATGGTCTGCAATTTGGCTTGGAAGCTGGGGGAGAAAGAGAGAGAGAAAGAGAATGGGGCTTGGGGAGGATATTTTTAGTTAGTTGTGCTGTTCTCATACATGTCCTAGCTTAATGGAATTCTCATGAATTCACATTGTGGAGCCATCAGTGGATTACCCAGGGAAATACTGCTAGCTTGGCTTACTCTTCTGGTGCACATGTTATTCAGCTGAATGGCAGAGTGACTCAGAGATGTAAGAGTGTTGTGACTGAGTGAGCACTGTGGCCATAGTCTTCCCTCTGGGACTATAGTTTTCCACTCCTTCAGGTGGCTTGCTTTGCTTTGCAAATCTCCAGATCAGTATCGGGTTCCCTCTAGTTTGGGTTAAGCTGAAATTCCTCTTATGCTTGATGTCTTTTTTTTCATGGTGTGCCTTTGGATGAGTGTGGCATTAATGGATGTACAACTTTGTGAAAGTTTACTGAAGTAAACATGCTTTCTCTGCCCTGCTAGTGTGTTCTTGTGGTTACTATGCTTGTGGTTAGGAGAGAAAAACTGATGCCAACCAAGAGACTTTAACAAGATCCAGGACACATCCTGTCCATTAACCTCAGGGACTTCCTCCTTTATTGCAGCATCTCCTTCTTCCAAAGTTTAAATAAACTGTTTCTAGGAAGAAAAGGAGTACTTTTTGCATTAGGTATTGTCCCAAGATTATTGCATTTTTTCCACATGCATTTCTCCCAGAGTTTACTGCTGGAGCAGTAGGAACCTACTAAGTTTCACCTGATTTTCTCCTTGGCTGGGATTGCTGCTCAAAATATGATCAAAAGTACATAGGAAGACCTTAACATGTGTGGGTAGGAATTTGCTTCACAGAAGGCCCCAAGGATTTCCCAGGCAGAGCTGAGAAAATCACTTGAAAACCTACCAGAGACTCTGGCGTATAGTGTAGACAATATTAAATCAGATGAACTGGTATACTGTGCAGTAGAGTTGGTTTCTTAGGATCACCATTTTTAATAAAACCAAACCTGTACATTACTTTCTCTAGCAATTGCAGCAGGGAAGGGGGCTCAAATTCTCTGTTAAAAAATATATTGTGTCACCTTCCAAGGAATGATAGTTAGATTAGCCTCATTGCCTTACCTAACAGTGTAGAGGTTTTCTTTTAAATCTCTAGTACCAGCAAGGGCTTCAGAGCAGGAGAGAACAGAGTTCATTTGCCTGTATGTAATAGCTCATAGAGATCACTTATTAGTGATAACTCCTATAGTGATGGGTTCAGACAGGCCATAATTACCTTATGTTCCAAGTAAGACCAGAGCAATTGAGGTTGAACTGCATATTAATAGTTTACCTCCTTTTTTCATAGAATGCAGAATTACCTCCCCATCTTTCACTGTTACCTGCCTGTAGGTGAACAGCCTAATGATGCCTTCTGATGGTTCCAGTGGGAATACTAAGAAATAATTTGCTGAGGGTAAAGCTTGTACATGTCAAAATGAAAACCATAAAACAAGCCGGTGCAAACGGAGCCTGTTTGCACATTGTTAAGTGCTGCTCACCTTCTTTCTTCCTTACTGAGGCTGGAGAGCCCATTCTATCTGGGGACCAGTGAAGTGACTTTTGGGGCCCATATTGGAGCCAAAATAAGGCATTTCAATTTCTTGGGGAAGGAGCCAGAGTTGTAGGTTGGGTCATATAGGAAGTGAGACATGAGATATGCCTATCTGTAACTGGAGCGAAGTTGAGAGTCTTTTCAGGTTTCAACTTTATCGATAGAGTTGTGTGAAGTGTAGAAACACATTTATTTAAAAGATTTATATGGCCACGCATCTTAAAAACCACAACAACTCACAGCACGAAAACAGAAATGCCTCAACTCCAAGGACTTCCACAGTATAGGTGCTTATACTTTAGTTAAATGCCTATGGTAGCTTCTCCCTCTTTTTCCTCTTTCCTTCCCTCTGTGCACTTTCCCTCCCTCCCTCCCTCCCTCCTTCTCTCCCCCCCCTCTCTCTCTTGCTTGTTTTGTTTTTCTTCCAGAAAATCAAAGCGAGGAAAGGGGAAGGGTCAAAAAAGAAAGCGCAAGAGAGCCCGGTATAAACCACAGAATTTGTACGTTTTTGCATCATGTGCTTTTAGACTCTGCCCTTTACCCATTTCTTTCTATTCACCCCTAAAATCAAAACTCCTGCTTGCATTACATCTAATTAAACAATCAAAGGAGCAAACAATTTTCACTCACATCTCCAAATCACTTGTTCTTGTGGTGGCACTATAAGTTTGGGGACATTGGGGAGCACATAGAAGCTGTGATCCGTTTGTTTTTTTCTTGCTTGGGATTATTCTGGTCTTTGAAAGACACAGTGACCTAAATGGATAGGCAAATTTCTCATATTTTCACTCTTGCTTTCCCCCTAAAATGCTCTTACATGATTTCCCCCAACCCACTTCCTTAAATTTCCTCTTGGCGGTCACTTACAAACCTGTTGGTGTGACAGCAAGAGCTTCATACTTGTCTTTCATGCATGTTTGCCTGTGTGTGTGTGTGTGTTTGTGTATGGAGGCTGATGGCAACTACTAACCATTACCAGAGGCAGCTAAAGGATTCTGGGAAAATTTGGGGAGTGCTCTCTCTTTCTCTCTGCTGGAATTGGGTGCCCTTTCTCTTTCTGTGCCTTTTCTACATCTCAATTCACCAAATCCTGCATTTGCAGTCATTCTTAGGTGGCGGGGTGTTGCGGGCGAGGGATTTCAAGAGCTGCTGTTTTGATTCAATCTGTATGGAAAAAGACACAACTTGAATGGGAGCAGTTGGGTTCCAAAGTCTGTTTTCTCTCTCTCTCTTTTTTTTTTAAAAAAGACAGGGGTTTCTCTGTAGAAAGAGTTGCCCTTGAGTAGTAGTAATATTTTGTTGCTATTGGCTCAGAGACCTCAGTTAACAATAAGGAGGCTCTCGGTTTCCACTGCAAACTGGACTCATGCAGGATTTGTGGATTAGGCCATTGCAGAGAGCCCATTTCTGCCTTTTAAAAAGCTACTGCAAGTAAGTGTTGGAATGCCTTTGGGAGTGTCCACCTCTCCTCCCAGCAGTGCTCTAGGCATGCAGTGTTGGGAGTGGTGGGCAAGGGGTGGGGGCAAGGGTTGCTTCAATGTGTAGGGTGTTGCATGTGTAAATTTCTTCCCGCTAAAGCACTGTAGCTTAGACCTCTTTCCTTTTGCCTTTTTGCAGTCACTGTGAACCTTGCTCAGAAAGGAGAAAGCACTTGTACAAACAAGATCCCTTGACCTGTAAATGTTCCTGCAAATTCACAGACTCACGTTGCAAGTCGAAGCAGCTTGAGTTAAACGAGCGCACTTGCAGGTTTGTGTCCTGAAGAATGAAAAACAGAAAATTTTAAACCCCACATACAGCTCTCTCAGACGTATTCATTCACACCTCGAGAGAGAGATAAAGGAGTGAGCTTTTGCTGGCTTTTGGTGTAATCTGCCTAAAGTTTAAAACTTCCCTTGTTCTGGCAGAGTTGAACTGTATTGTCTGCCTCTAGGGTGATCAGTGATGTGTTTCAAAAACATTTCCTACCGGTTCGGAGTTTGCTTCCGAGCTTGCATGCGCAGTGCTCAAACTCCGCCATCTGGACCAAAGCTGGTGAGCTGTGCAGGCGCGCCTATCACATGCGCACGCCAAACGTGTGAATCGTGTGCGCGCAAGGCTCAGAGATGGCCCTTCCCTGGTGAGCTACGCTGTTTTTTTAGCTCAGCTGAGGTGCGGAAATCCACTCTGCCATGCGAATCAGCTGAGCTAATAAACAGCCAGATATAGGAGAGGTGAGAAGTAAGAGCAGGGGTGGGTGGGTGGGTGGGTGGGGCCAGTCAAAATGTTCCCTACTGGTTCTCTGAACCTTTCAAAATTTTCCCTACCGGTCTGCCAGGACCGGTCAGAACTTGCTGAATACCACCTCTGAGGGTGATGATAAATAATCTAGAATACATCTCTTAGGGAACGAGGTGGCTCCTTCCACATTGCTAGCACTCAGGAGAAGTCCTCAAAGACTTTTATGCAAGTCCTTGTTTAATGCAACAGGCTGTTTAATGAGATTGCCAGTTCTCTTTTTTTTTTTTTTGGGGGGGGGGGGGGGGGGGGGGGGGGGGGCCTCAAAAGCAAAGATCTTGTCCCAATCCATCTTTTTAAGCTCTAAATCTACCTGGGACTGAGTCATAAATCCAGACATGCATTCTTTCCTGCACTTCTCTTTTACTCTAGAATGGGTGTCTGCAACCCATGGCTCCAGAGCCGCATTCGGCTCTTTGGGCTCTCTGCCTGTGGCTCCCTGTTGGGTGATCCCACCACTGGCTGGTGCCACCCCTTGCCCTCTCCTCCCAGTCACTCCTTGCCTGGCTTGAGAAGGTAAGGGTGATGGCGGGGGATGGAGAAGTGGCCAGGGCTGATTCTCCGATGCCTCACTCTTGCTGGAGCTTCTTCCGGCTTGTTATTGGTGCTGGGTGTGCCTCGGTTGCTTGGGGAGATGCGCAACCTGCTCTCTGCCCCCTTTCTGCTCTCTGCCCCGAGACGCTGGCCCAACCTGGCCTTGATAACACAAGGGCTGGTGGGGTGGGAATGGGATCCAGGAGGAGGGGACGATGGAAAGGGGGACGGGCCTGCATTGCTCAGACGTGGCTTTAAAACTTTTGCTGCCCGGAGGATGCTTTTCAGTGATAGCCAGCGGTGGCACTGCTCTGCTGGAAGAGTAAAGAAGCTCAGAACAGTGAGAAAAGGGGGCTGGCCCCACCAAATCCTGCACGCCCACCTCTCTGTCTCTCTCTCTGTCTCTCTGTCTCTCTCTCTCGACTTGAGACATGGCTGAGTGTGTAGGGAAAAGATGTGAAGGTCTGTAATCTGAGTGTGGATGCCTAGTGCCGCAGCAAGAAGAGAGCCAGGTCTTCTTGAGTTACAGTTCACCGTTCAGAAGTAGCCCCTGGAGAGAAACCAGACAGTTGTCTGACCTTGACCTTTATAGTTCCCCCTCAAATTAACCCACGAGAAGTTTGAAATAATCCTCGAAGTGAGTGCCATGCTATTCCCAGAGGAAGAAAGGGGGGGAAAATGGCTAATTAAAAAATTGTCCCTGTGTTAGGACCAAGGCCAGCATACAGGTTGTCCTTGAGTAGTGCCAAAGGATAGATTGGATTGTTTTGGCTTTGGCAGCTGCTCGGCTGCTTCAAATGAACTCTTCACTGCAGGGAGGAAATTTGGACCTCAAAGGGCACAGCTGATTCTTCATTTCCTGGCTTCTGCACAGCTGCGATGGTTGCTGCTGTGTTTAGGCACTAATCTCCGCCTCTGCAAGCAGCGGCATTAAGCTCTTTCTTTTCTCCCCTTTTTGCTTGCGCAGGGCACCCCGGCTTGCTTTGGCTGCACCTCTTTCAAAACATAGCAGAGGAGGTTAGTGTGGCAAAACAGGGTAGATTGTTTCTGTGGAGGTATGAGTGAGAGGCATGCCAGGATGTAAAAATCAACTTTGGAGATGAAGTAGTATTCTTTACAGTACTCATATCTGCGGGGAGAAAACTAGAGGAAATGCAGTGCCTTTTTCTTTTTCTTTAAGAGCAAGTCCTTTCCTGTTGGTCCCTGTATAGGATTTTGATTTATTCTGTGGCAAAACACTTCTGCTAATCTTTTAACCCAGGAGGCTCCTTCTCGCCTGTTAATGCCGTGTTAATGCTGGGGAATCCTGCATATCGTGACATAACCTCTCATCCCTTCTCTCTTCTCCTTCACAGATGTGACAAACCAAGGCGGTGAGCAGCAGAGAAGAAAGGGAGTGCGGGCGCAGCCTTGATTCTGGAGCCTGACATCTCACCTGGTCAGAAACAGAAAACAAACACTAATCCAAATGAACACTAAAAATGAAGGATCAGCAGCGCACAGCACTTTTGAGTATGAACGATGGACTCTGGAAGGAACATTCCCTGAGGATCTGCGCAGGATTCACCTATTGGTTTTGAACTAGTTTTACAAAAAAAAAAAAACTTTCCTTCTCATGCTGCTAAGATATAGAGCCAGGGAGAGTGGAGTGGTATATGCTTGGGACTCCCAAAACACATGAAGTATATGTATATGTATATGTATGTATATATATATACTGAATTTCTAAAACATTGCTAACATTATTGGTGTCTTCACTGGATATACTCAACTGCTGTGGACACAAGTGGGCTATTTGGGACATAGAAAGAAACTACGACTGGACTCCAGTCAATACTGCTCAATATATTCTTCATACTCTTCCTGACCCTCTAAAGCCTGCTGGTCTCACTTCCTGTCCCCACTCTCCTGCCCCACTCCCGTGTGGTGAAACATTTGTACGAGAAGAGATGGCAGGGGATTCCCAAAATGGCACCTTGGAATACTGTGTGGGTCAAAAGGTCAAGGAAATAACTTTTAAATGCTGGAACTGATCATTCAATCAAATTCCCTTCCCCTTCTTTCTCGAAAAATCTCTTCTGAGTCTGGCTTACTATCTGTTAGCTTCACTGGGTTGTTGGTGTATATTTTTGTATTGACTTGCTGCAGGAACATTTTGCCACAGATAATGTGTTTTGGCCTTAATGATGGGAAATGGCTGACGTTTGGACAGCTCAAGGAGGCATCCCTGGAATCCTGCCATCCCTGTTGGCTACTTAAATAATGGATGTCATATCGGCAGAAGGAGATGGAGGAAAGAAGGGGAACTAACAGAGAGCCGGGCAGTTGAACCAGCACTGTCAACCATCATGCACAGAGCTGCCACTGAAGATACTTCTGGAACTTTTCTGGAAAGGGATATTAATTTAAGTATATATGCGCAATAGACAGGATGTGTGAGTGTGTGTGAGTGAGGGGGTACATACATACAACTGTATAGGTTTTTTTTTTTGTGCCTAATAAGTTTTAAATTGGCTTGTTACATTTTGGCCCTTCGAGGGTAAAGCTGGTGAGAGCTTATACTTTAGCATTGTAAATTTGTTACTCTCAGTCTTGACCTATGAATATATTAAGACATATTGTTCTTTGCTGGACTTGTAGATCTTATTACCACCACAAAAAAATTAGCATAGAGTCTCCCCATTATCAATAATATCTGATAATTAGGCCCAGCCACCCAGATATGACTTGCATGAAAAGTCAGTGGGACTGTACATTGAATTCCAGAGTTACTCTGCGCCCAGTGTTGGCAGAAGAACTTTTGAATTAAAGAGGGACCTTGTGTGGCATTCTAAAACAACCTTGACTTCCCTAATTAAGAATATTCTACAGTTAAGTTACAGAGAATATGGAGGATGAAAGGAGCCATATGATTTTGGGGTGGTTCTAAATGTGCTGTTCAGTTATTCACTGCATGAGCTGAAATAATATTAAACAACACTGCTATAGAGCAGATTTAAGAAGGAAGACAAAACCACCATGCTTCCCTCTATTCTTAAAGCTGTACCTATTTCCAAATTAGGCAATTCACCTTGATATTTACTTTTACTTTTCAAGTGCCCACTGTAGTCATTACAAAATGTGATTGTTTTATCCAGTTTCCCCATTGACCTATACAGACCAGCCATGTAAGCTTTTGGTTAGCCTCCCTCAATCCAAGCTCTTCCATAGCTGTTAAGAGTTCAGAGCCAATATTCTGAATCAGCAAGGCAAATAGGCGGAGGAAAGTGGGAATTGCTGTTGGTTAGTTCCGGAAGGTAGCAGATTGGGGAAGGCTATCTCAAGCTTTTTCTGTTAGTTTCTTGAATGGTTGATTGTTGTATTATTCCTATAACAGTTTTGGAACTTAATTGAATAGCCTTAAGTGCTTCTATGCAAAAAGATTTAAGTTCAAGTGCGCACAGAGTCTGATCTAAGTCCCAGAGTTAATAGCATTCTAACAGGTGTGGATTTTGGTTCATCACCAAAATCTAAGCCAGTGTAAATCTGATGAAAGGGGGAGGAGTGATGGTTTTCTTTTTTGCATATAGGTCCAAAACAACAGAGGTTTTTTTGATAATTGTTTGTAACCAAGCCAGTATATATGTAACTTTCAGAGACAGTAAACAAAGCTCTAGTACCAGGCAATTGGCAAGATTCCATTTAATTCTGGTTTGAAGATGTCCTTTGAACAATGTTACTCAGATTGGCAACTTTAAAATATGTGGACTTTTAACTCCCAGAATTCCTCAGCCATGGGGGTTCTTACAGTTGAACTCATACCTCTTTAAAGTTGTCAGGATTGAGAAACACTGCCTTAGAATATGGAACTTGGACCAGCCAATCTGATTCGTTGAAATTCAGTTTTAGCAATCAGTAATTGTTCTTGGGGAATCAAGCTACAATTTTCAGTGCCTTGCATATAAACACTTGAAACACCAAAGCATCTCCCAAATCACCAGGCATTTAATAGGTATTTGGACAGAAGATGATAAGGCAGATTTTTAATTCTACTTTTTACACTCTATGAATGTCTGAAGCAATTTGACGTGCATAGAAGGCATGGCTTCAGCTTGCTTTGCTGGGAAATGCAAAATGATACTGGTTGACACCACTGGGTACCATTCTCTGTTAAATGTTCTGCAGTCCCAGATCAAATACGTTAGGAGAATTGAGGCTGCTGGACACCACTGAATCTGCAAGGACAGAATTCCCATTTTTCTTACTGCGTGGAACTTTGTTGGACTATCTCCAGGCAGCATGCCATCCAGCTATTTTAAGTCCAGATCAGTATTGCTGTCATGGGGAAAGCTATTGCTGTATGGTGTGTATGTGATGCTTCTATACGTTTCTGATTTCTGTGAAGTTAGTGAATCAACTCTGAAGAGGATGACTGTCTGTATATGTTTGTGGGGGACAGAATCCAAGCAACTCCTTTCCCTACCACGAAGTAGTATGAGATCCTCCTTGCCCTTCTCCTTACCTGTTTTCTTTCCCTAAGATCTTTCTCTAGGACATGAAATGGTGCTTGGATCCGGCCATCTGTTTGGCATTGTCAGAACATTTATCAATCCATTGTTGGAAACTGATTGCATAGCTGAGTCTGCAAATGTAGAGCACAGTTCTGTGTACCTGGAAAGTTATGTCTCATTGCCTTCATTGGACTGGTCTGTGTGCCTGCTTCTCAGTCTGACTGTTTTTTTTTTCGTTTTTTTTTTTTTTTGGTACTATACTTGGTCTCTGTCAGAATCCTGCCAAATGCTTGCTTGTTTACAGAAAAGCAAGAAAAACTGGCCTTAAGTCAGCCTTTGACAAGTGTGTATTAACCACTATAAAATCCCCCTCTAGCTGATAGAAATATGGTATGCATTCAGTTTGTATGCGTCTGTGTCTGCGTGGGGATGTGTGCAAATGTGCACACATGTACAACTGAAATGTATATGTTCATGCTGTGTGCGGTGATGTTCTATATACTTGTTTAATGTCCCTTTAAATTTAGAAATTAAAACGTAATAATAATTTAAACTAGGTATTTTTCAATATTCTTTGTTTAATATTTAATTTTACTATTTATAAGTTGTACCTTTTTTTTGTACTGTTTTAACTCTTCTGTTCAACCAATCTTCCCCAATTGTTGAGAAAGTGAATAGCATGATCAGTTATTTAATTAATATCTTAACACTCATCCCTACACATTCCTTTTAAGCAAAGTTTATGCATCTACATCTATATATATATATATGCATATATATATATATATATATATATGGCTGTACATGTGTATGTGTGTATATATATATATATGTTTATGTATATGTGTAATTAATTAGACACTACATTTTTTATATATGTAAACTTTTCTTCTGCCCCAGATTATAGAAAATTTTACTATCATTTTATTTATTGGTGCTACTGTTATTATTGGTGTACTGTGGCTAAAAAAAATCACTAGCCACACTGGTTAATCTCAAAATTCCATAAGAAATATTTATTTTTAGACAAAAAATATCTTTTAAAAAAAAACCATCTATGGTTGTTTTGTTTTTTCCTTTTTTTTTGTAATAAAGAATTTAATGCACACTTGCTTTCTTTTCTTTTCTTTTTCTTCTCCCTTCTCCGCTTTGCATATTATTTTTCTGTTTGAGGTTTTGGTTTTGCTAATTGGCTGTAAGGGTGGAAAAAAGGCCCCAAACATACTCAGGAACCATCCAAATATATTCCCAGAAAGGAGGATGTTTTTAATGCAAGATGAAAACAGGTTGTTCTCTGCAACCCTTTTCAAAAAAAAAAAAAAAGCCAACTTCTCTTATCATATTATAGAGAATGCACTGTTGCTGTAACTTGCTATAACAGTTATAGCTGTAACTTGCTATAACACCATGCCTTCTATGCAGCATGTACATTCATTTGTGTGAGCAGTATCAGCTTCAACAGAGTTTCTCCACTGGGCACTCAAAAGAAAGCCCTACAACTAAATTAATGGATGACTTTCATGAAACGGTGTCTTTGGTTTAACCCTGTGGAAATGCATCTCCCTGTACCAGACCTGTGTTTGTGCTTCTAATCCGTACTTGAGGTTTGAGGTGCCTGTAAAACAGAGTTGGCTGGGAGGAAGGGGCGGGGTGCTGGCATGTCAAGGGAATCAAAAGTCTTCTCTCAGGGCAGGAGTAGATTCATTGGTACAATGTTGGACCTTCCACACACCAAAGCTGCAGATAGAAAGTATTCTTCACAAAAGGAATAGAATTCTTTCCAGACAGGAAGGAAGCTGAGTCACAGGGGAAAACAGACATCAGTGTAAGCTAAAAGTGCATGTCCTGTCATAAGACAATTGCTTCATGTCATAGACAAAATAATTTTGCTAGATAGGATTTCTTTAGCTGGATGATGGCCAAGAACCTTTTTCTATGGCTTTTCAAGGAGATGAAAACATTTGTGCCCCTCCTTCACCTCCGTGTTGGTATTTGTCCAGTCATGTTAGCGCAGGAATACTGGGAGTTGAAGTCCACAAGTCTTAAACTTGCCAAGTTTGAAGTCCCTTGGTCTTAGGGTTGTATATTGAGACCTTCCCAGCATCACTTTGGATAGCAAGATGGGTGGTATAAAATTTAATAGATAGATGATAGATAGAGATAGATAGGCAGGCAGGCAGACAGACAGATGTCTTCTGGCAAGTGATGCACATGTTTGTTACTTATGCTTAGAATCTGACCACAAGATGTCTTCTTGATCATGTGGGGAAAATTATTTGTTTTTCCAAGGGTAACTTAGCAAGTCACAAATCATACTCTCCCATTCAGCTGTTTTGCCTCAACAAATTAAAAATTAGAAATGAACCCAGTGGAGGGACTGTATTCACCTGAAAGCTCTGAACCTACAATGCAGCCGGTAAAAAAATGGAGTTAAAAAAAGTTAGGGGTGGAATATGGCCATCCCCGTATTACAGAATTATGGTTCTTGGCATCTCTCAGTATTGGTGAGGCTGACTAAGTATTGGAAATATCAGTCCTGCAATGACTAAAGTGAACACTGACACAAATCAGGTAAGCTGCTGTGCCTGTTGAATTGTCATGTTACTCTAAAACGTTAGATTTAATGATCAGAGTTTGAAATAGCTTTTTCTAGCAGAAACAGAAATGATGAGAGCCACTAGGGTTTTCCCTTTGATGGTTTATGGAAGTGAAAGTTGGACTTTGAAGAAGCAGAATAGAAACAATATTGATGCTTTGAATTTTGAAATTGAAATAGACTCCTGTAAATACTGTCAAGAAAAAGAACAAACAATCAAAGAAATTGAGCCAGAGTTATTACTTGAAGCACAGTCAGACTCATAATTTGGATGTTATTTGAATACTGTTGGGAAACGGCAAGAAAGAGACTCAGAGGTCAACAGAAGATAAGTGGACTCAGTTACAAGGACAATGGGTGCAACCATTGGAAGACTTGAAGGATGAGGCTGAGAACAAATCCATTGGGAGAAAATCTTTGTGATTGCTAAGAGTTGACATCAATTTGATCATACAGTTAATCAAAAAAAATTAATCGAAGTTTTCTTGTGATACAAATGGTTGATGAAAGTGAGCATCACAGTTGCAATCAGACTTCTTCTAGTAACATTGATGGAAGAAGAACAACATTACAAACTCTAAGAGATAGCAGATGAAAAGACAGTCATCACATTGTTGATTTATGTTCAGAATTATCTACTGAAACACCCAGATCTCATATATATACCCATACTATCCTGTTAAGCAGTTTCAGTTGTTGGATGTTCATCTGTATAGTATCAAGCCAGTGAGTTCTTTGCTTGTCCTTTCTTCTTGATCCACTAATCATTCTTAGCATCACTGATTCTCCAATGAATTTGCATGCATGACATGGCCAAAGTAAATCAGATGGAGTCTTGTGATTCTGACCAGTGATGTTTCTCATTTTATATGATTCTCTGTTGGTTGCTTTAGTTGTCCATGGTATACACAATAATTTACACCAACCCATAGTTCAAAGGCATCAATCCTTCTCAGCCCTTCTTAGTGCCTAACTCACGCCAGTACATTGTTGTAGGGAAGATTATTGCCGGGGTGGGATTCAAATTTTTTAACAACTGGTGCTGTGGGTGTGGCTTAGTTGGTGGGCGTGGCTTAGTCATGTTATTGGCTGGGCGTGGCCAACTCAATATCACTCACATTGAGGCACACATCTCCTCACCTGGCCTCTTGTGACTGTGGGGATGCTGCAATAGTTGTAAGTGTGAAAAATGGTCATAAGTCACTTTTTTCAGTGCCATTGTAACTTTGAATGATCACTCCACACAAGCAAAGTACCAGCAAAGGAGGGGGAAAAAAACTCCAGAGAAGTTCCAGAGACAGGAAATCTAGTCCTGCCAAAAATGTAATAAGGGTTAACAGAGAGGCAGTTTCTGTAAGCAACACCAGAATGTTTCCTTCCTGCCTTCCTTACAGGATTAGGCCAGTAATTGCTTCTAACAACCGGTTCTCCAAACTGCTTAGAATGTTAACAACCTGTTCTAGAGAATAGATGCGAACTGGTAGAATCCCACCCCTGATTATTGCTCTAACTAGCCTGCTTTTTGTATTTATATCAACATCTCTGTTTTTAGAATAGAATAGAATTGGAAAGACCTTAGAGGTCTTCTAATCCAGCCCCTCGCTCAAGCAGGAGACCCTATACCATTTCAGACAAGTGACTGCCTAGTCTCTTCCTAAAAACCTCCAGTGATGGGGCACCCATGATTTCTGAAAGCAAGCTGTTCCACTGGTGGATTGTCTTCACTGTTAGGAAGTTTCTCCTTAATTCCTGATTAATTCTCTCTTTGATTAGTTTCTTGTCCTGCCCTCTAGTGCTTTGGAGAATAATTTGATCCCCTCTTCTTTGTGGCAATTCCTCAAATGCTGGAATACTGCTACCATGTCACCCCAAATTCTTCTTTTCTTTAAACTAGACAAATTCAAAACTCATAGCCGTTCTTCTTATGGTTTAGTCTCTGGGCCTTTGATCATCTTAGTTGCTCTTTGAACTTTTTCCAAAGTCTCAACAATAGTAGTGGCAGTAGTAGTAGTACTACTACTACTACAGTAGTAGTATGGTGACCAAAATTGGTTGTAGTATTCCAGCTAGGGTTTTATAAAGTGGCACTAATATTTCACGTGATCTTGATTCTATGCTTCTGTTTATACAACCCAGGATTGTATTAGCATTTTTGGCTGCTGTTGCAGACTGCTGGCTCATATTCAAGTGATCATCCACTAGGACTCCAAGGTCCCTCTCACAGTTATTGTTTTTGAGCCAGGTCTTGCCTAATCTGTACTTATACCATTGATTTTTCCTGTCTAAATGTAAAACTTTGCTTTTCTCCAAAGCTCAAAATCATTTTGTTGGATAGGGCCTATTGTTCAAGTTTGTCCAAGAAGTAGATTGTAGTCTATTTTGTCAAATGCCTTACCGAAATCTAAGTATAGTATATCCAGAGCATTTTCCAGATCTTATTTATATTAACCATTGCACTGTGGCCCTAGATTATTCTGCATTTGATTTCAGGTATAGAACTACCACCATGAACAATTTTTGGTCCAAGGAAGATAAATCCTTGAACTAATTCAATTTCTTCCTTGTGGATTGTCCTCATGTCCTTCTGCAGCTATTGTTATCTTTGTTTTCCTGAAATTTAGACTCAGTCCTACTTTTTCACCTTATTCTATTCTCTTTATATCATTCTAAATATGATTTCAAGCCATTGGATCTGGTAACTTCCATTCAAATTCATCCAAACCCAATCTTCCAAATTCCAAAATACAAGTCTGACTCTTCTTTATTTCTCTTTGTGTTGATATTATGAACTCAAGTATAACATGGTAACTTTTTTCCCAAGGTTTACTTCTTCAACCCATTCCACCATATTGGTAAGAATTAAATACAAGATAGCAGGTGCCATTGTTATTTCTTCTACCTTCTGACAAACAAAGTGTCATAAACTTAGGATAGGAATTTGTTAGACCTCTGACTGCAGTTAGATAGTCCAGATAGTGTTAGAATAGATGAAATCTGTCATTGTCATTATTTGCATATACCTTTAAGAGCTTGGTAATCTCATGTAGATGTATTTTTCTATCTATATTTTCTATATTTCTATATTTTCTACCTTTCCAGACAGCCTACTATAACTTTTACGGTGATGACAGTTTTTATTTTTGTTCTTATATTTCAACAGAACTTCCATGTTCAGTTCATGAATGTATGTCCTAACCTTCCTTATGTTGAAGCTACTCCTATTAAATAAGTTACAGACTCTAGGACTGTGTTCTACTCATGTGTAATAAACTTTCATTTATGCCTGTAACATTATATTCAGGGGTGAGCTTCAAAAAATTTAGCAACCAGTTGTCTGCCTGGTTGCTGGGTGGGTGTGGCCATGTGGGTGTGGTCTAGTTACCCTCCTGTACCAAGGTGGGTGGCCGTTTCCACCCTCCTCAGCTCCAGAGGCTTTTTTCGAGCC